CTATGTCCCCAATTCCTAGAACAAGGCGGGGCGGGGGATAGGGGCAAACGTCAGTCCCGGCCTACGAGCTGAGCATGGTTTTCATATTTGTAAATGGTTGAAATAAAAAATTTAAAGAGTAACGTTTCATGACACATGAAAATTGTGTGAAATTCACATTTCCGTGACTACAAGTAACATTTTCTTGGAACACAGCCACGTTGCTCATGTACGGATGTGGCTGCTTGCACGCAGAGTTGAGCAGTTGTGCAAAGCCTCACACTATCTGGCCCTTCATAGAGCAACGTCTGTGGAGCCCTGGCCTTGGACATGGAATGGGGTCTGCTGATTTTTTTCTAGACTCACCATGGTCAGTCTCCTTCTCCTAAGAAGCCCAAACACACCTTTGGGACCAATGAACCAGTACCGAAAAACCTCCTCAACTGGGCTTGGTGCCTTCCTCAGCAGGAGACGAACAAACGGTCTGAGTGGGTCCCCGCAAACCTGGCCTTCTGGAGAGCAAGTCAGCCCCGCCCGCTTGGCCAGGCCAGGCGTGCACAGGGCAGTTTGGCTTCAGCACACCAACCCCATTAGCGTGGCGCCTTTTAGCTTTTCACAGCTGTTCCCTCATTTTCGCATTGCGATACAGCACAAGCCCTGGGAGAAAGCAGTGTCTCTCTGGCGGAGATGGGGAAACTGAGGCACATGCCCCGGGGCACTAGGAGTGGCCAAGGGGACATTCACATATCCGTTTCCCTCCATGCCAGCCTGACAGCCATGCTTTCACGCTACTCGTGCTGTGACGTTCCCCCGCTGCCCCAGGGTGTGCAGGAGACAGCCCTTCTACAGCTGGCAGTGCCATCTGCCAGTCTCTCTTGGCAGCGGGAGAGCCTCCCCCCAGTCACCTCTGTCCAGAAGCCCATTTGTCCAGAGCCTCTGGCCTCCTGCATAGGCTGATCGGTAACGATGTGGTCAGTTGCCCTTTATCAGAAACACCCTTTCTGTCCATCCTCACCCTGACACGTGAGCTGGCTTTCCCAGTCACGTGCAAATGCTTACAGCCCAACAGTCTGTCAGGTGACTCAAAAAACCAGCCCTCACTCATCACTCATCCGAGAGTGGCCACCTCACTCAGCTGCTCAGGCCCCGAGTTCCCGCTAAGGTGACAGGCGGCCCACCCCGCCTCCCAGCCAATGGCTTCCTCCGAAACGTCTCACAGTTTTCATCTCTCATTCTTCACCTGGACATTGGGCTGCAGTCACAGCTTTACCTGGCACAGCAAAGGCTGAAGAAGTGTAGGAGAGACCAAGTTACAGTGCAGGCTTTCTTGGGACATTTTAACTCAAGGTGGAGGCAGGCTGGTGGCCCATGAGGGCCGCTGGAGGCAGCTTCCTTACATTTAGTTACTCCAAACGTAACGAGGCAGAAAAGGTGTGTTACCTAGCTCCTGGCACCAGAATGCCTCTTACGGGCCGGGCAGTATTTATTGGGAAAGACATTTACTGGAAACGCCACCTCTGCCCCTCACCAGGGCTTCTGGGGGAGGTGAGGTCTGGGAAGGCTTCCCGGAGGAGGCGCCATTTGGGCAGATATCGGGAAATATGGGGCAACAGTGGAGGGGGCTGGGAAGAGCATGAGAGAACGCCTGAGGCACGTGGGGCCACATCTGAAGAACAGAGAGAGAAAGATACAGCTAGGCAACAGAAGTTGCTGCCTAGGAGGCCTTCCACGGTCCACGGTTCTCAGTGCCCTCGCCAAGTTTATACAGCTACCACTGCCATCACCACCGCCGACAGACAAACACATCGGCTTAGCTCCGCCCCCTTCTGCTCTAAGCATTTTATATGCAGGATCCCATTTCAGCCACAGTCCTATGACGATAGGGGATGGGGATTTGTGTCTGTTTCACAGATGAGGGAACTGAGGCACTGGGGGTTTAGGGTCCCACAGCTGGTCAAGGTAGGACCAAGATTCAAAACCCAGTGCCTGGAGTTCTTTGGATGGAAAACCTCTTTTTCCAGCCCAGGGCACCCTTGGCCTTCCCGCTGACGTGGCTTCATTTCCATGAAACACTGGGAGGTCCAACTGGAGTGACTGGAGGCCCTTAGGTGATTCTGGAGGGAAAGGCAGGGACAGGAGGCACAGGCCATCGTGGGGGGTGAGGGATGGGGCAGACCTGCCTGGGCGGGGTTAGAAAGAAGCCCCTGTGAGGTCAGCCTGGGGGCAGATGCCCAACCTCACTGCATTTCACGCCTAGTGAAAACTGGAGTTTTCCCTTGTGAAAACGCGTCACCCTTCCAACCGCTTTCTCCAGGAGGCGGGGAGTGAAGTAGACAAGTCACAAAGGCAAGGGATAGCTCCGCAGGAAGCAAACCACCTCCTGAGGTTCCAGCTGCTTCCTTTTCCCTGAGCAGTGCAGGGACACCAGAGCACAGGAGGCGTCGGGGTGGGAGGAGCCCCTTACAAGAGTCAACATGTAAAATCCGTTTCCTTCCCTCCGGGTTTTTCAGACTCCAAGCCAAGAGCAATTGTTTCCTTAATTATATTCAACTTCTGGCAACATGTTGGCTGAAGTTTGGGTGATGGCAATGCTGAACTCGGCACAATGACAAACAGTGCGCGCGCGCATCTGTGTATTTACGCACATATTAAAGTTCCCTCGCCTTCGCGCTTTCATGTCCTCCTTTAGCAGGAAATAAAGGGACCACTGGGCTGGCGCTCAAATCCCTCCTAAGCAGAGGGAAATTCGGGTGTCACGGTTTGCAGAAAGGAAACACAGCCTCCGTGTGGGGTGTAATTACATCTTAGCTTTCTGCAGAAGAATAGTTTATGGCTTAAATGCTATTAATTGTAAGCCGTTTTGTTCCACGGGACGTTGTTCATTGATAACTACCCAATTAGGGTTATTTTGCAATTAGTCTATTCACAGTAAATTTATTGCAAAAGGGGAAGGCTGTGGTGCAGGAAATTAAAGCATCGTTGGGGCGGGGTGCGCAGTGGCTGTTAAATGCCAATTTTATTAACCAGCTCAGAGGTCCCGGGAGGCTGTGCCATCTTGGCCAATGCAGCAAAGGCCAAAGGGAAACCCGTGGCCAACGCCTGCCACGGAACCATGCTGCAGATGTTTCAGTCTGATCAGGAGACGCGAGGGAACGCCTGGCCTCCCTCGCAACATCCGCCCTCCTGGTCCTCATTAATGCCCTCCCTTTCCCTTTGCAGCGACGCTGACACCCGAGGAATACACCCTACAGCCTGCAGGACATGCCTGAGGCCTGACCGTCTGAGCTGAAGTGAAACCTTTAGCCACAAGCCTTCTGAAAATGGACACAGACTCGAAGCCCAGGGTTCCCACCAGCTCGCCATCTACCAGCTGTGCTCCTCGGGTCAAGTACTGAGTCTCTAAGATCCTCAGTTTCCTCACCCACAAATTTGGGCTGATAACAGGCCTACCTCTTAGGGCTGGTGTGAGGATTCCAGGTGACAGGAGGCACAAACAGTGTCATATTTACTGGCACAGGGGTCCCCCCCTTATCGGCGAGGATAGGTTCCAAGACCCCCAGAGGTCTTGAAACTGGCTAGTCCCAAACTGTGTCTAGACTACGCTTTTTCCTACACAGACACTCCTACTGTAAAAATAAATGAGGCACAGGAAGAGGCCGACATCAATAACTAGCAATAAAATTGAACAATTATAACAGTACCGTATTTGCCGGCGTATAAGACGACTCGGCCTATAAGACGACCCCCGAACATTTCCACTCAAAATACAGAGTTTGTTATATGGTCGGCTGTGTGCGATTTTGCGAGTGTGGTAAAATCGCATAACAGCAAAATCGCATAACA